AGCAAATAACTATCATCTCGAAGGACAAAGGTGACAAAAAATCTTCTATAGACGCTTAAGCGAGCTCCAAATGATCCTAAAGGTAATTCATGGGAAGTTCATAGTGTGCCGGCTGGTACTTTTGACAACAGGAAGACTATACCTCCAAGGTCAGGAGCTGACTCCAGTTCTTTTATGTTAAGTGTTAATTCTGGTATACAGACTTCTGATTCAAAGGTTACGGAGTGTGTCACAGAAAGTTTTAGTGCAGCCTCAAGAGAGATGAAAATGCTACCTGTGGTTTCTCAACTTCAGGCAGTTCAGAAGCAGTGGACATGTCGTGGGAAGTGTTTCTAAGATACTGCACCAGCTGAAGTGGGGTCCTGCTGCAGAAGAGGCTCTTCGAAAACTCAACTTTCCAGTGGATGCATACCAAGCAAACCAAGTGCTTAAGCAGCTTCAAGATCATATGGTTGCGCTAGGCTTTTTCCATTGGTTAAAAAGGCAAGCAGGTTTCAAGCATGACGGGCATACTTACACAACTATGGTTGGCATTCTCGGCCGTGCAAAACAGTTTGGTGCCATAAAGAAACTGCTTGATCAGATGATGCAGGATGGTTGCCAGCCAAATGTTGTAACATATAATCGGCTTATTCACAGTTATGGTCGTGCAAATTATTTACATGAAGCTATGGAGGTGTTCAGTCAAATGCAGGAAGCTAGGTGTGAACCTGATCGTGTCACTTACTGCACACTTATTGATATCCATGCTAAAGCTGGATATCTTGATGTTGCCATGGACATGTATCAAAGAATGCAAGCAGCTGGGCTTTCTCCTGACACATTTACTTACAGTGTTATGATCAACTGCCTGGGAAAAGCTGGCCATTTACCTGCTGCTCACAGGCTCTTTTGTGAAATGGTTAATCAGGGGTGTGTTCCAAATCTGGTCACCTATAACATCATGATTGCTTTACATGCCAAAGGAAGGAATTACCAGAGTGCATTGCAACTTTATCGTGAAATGAAGAATGCAGGATTTGAACCTGATAAAGTGACATACAGCATAATAATGGAGGTTCTTGGACATTGCGGATATCTTGATGAAGCAGAAGCAGTTTTTACTGAAATGAAACGAAAAAATTGGGTTCCTGATGAACCTGTTTATGGTCTTTTAGTAGACTTGTGGGGGAAGATTGGCAATGTTGAAAAAGCTTGGGAATGGTATCAGGCCATGCTTCATGCTGGTTTGCGTCCCAATGTGCCAACTTGCAATTCCCTTCTCAGTACCTTTCTTAGGGTGCATAGGTTTTCAGATGCTTATAACTTACTTCATAGCATGGTGGCTATGGATCTACGACCTTCTCTACAAACCTATACTTTACTCTTGAGTTGTTGCACAGAAGCACGGTCATCATATGACATGGGTTTTTGTTGCCAGCTGATGGCAGTCACAAGCCACCCTGCACACATCTTTCTACTATCCATGCCATCATCAGGACCTGACGGGCAAAATGTTCGCGATCACGTGACTAGATTCTTGGATGTAATGCGTAGTGAGGATAGAGAAAGCAAGAGAGGACTTATAGACGCAGTGGTGGATTTTCTTCATAAGTCAGGCCAGAAGGAAGAGGCCGGGTCAGTTTGGGAGGTGGCGGCAGATAAGAATGTATATCCAGATGCTGTAAAAGAAAAGAGCTCAAGCTATTGGCTTATCAATTTACATGTTATGTCTGAGGGTACTGCAGTTACAGCACTGTCAAGGACACTAGCCTGGTTTCGCCGTGAAATGCTGGCATCTGGGATTGGTCCAACCCGGATTGATATAATCACTGGATGGGGGCGACGCAGCAGGGTGACAGGAACTTCTTTGGTTCGACAGGCAGTGCAGGAACTGCTTAACATCTTTAGTTTTCCCTTTTTTATAGAGAATGGGAATTCTGGTTGTTTTGTAGGGTGTGGAGAGCCTCTTAAAAGATGGTTGCTCCAATCTTATGTGGATAGAATGCATTTACTGTAGCTGCTGTAATCATCTAGTGTCTGTAGACACAGTTTTGTAATCGCTGACTCATCAAAGTATTTGTATTTAAGTTAGGTGCAGCTTTTCTAATTTAAATGACAATGTGATGCCATTTTTGTTTTCACAGTTCCAACTATAGAAGCTAATCATGGAGAACTATGAAATCAACAAAATCCATAATTTATAATTCTAAATACACTAGGTTTTTTAGATATTAGAAAGATATATAATTGGTGAAATATAAAACTTCAAGCAACATAATATAAATAACTTGAATTTGAATTAGAGTTTAAGAATTATGGGAGTGGATAAAATGGGGTAAACTTCCTCCTAATCTTATTCAAATATTTCCCTCCAACTTTTCCTTTTTCTTTTTGTTTTAATTATTAAGTTATCAAGAACATATTTGTTAAAAAGGAAAAACAATTAATAGATTTATATTATCTACTCACCAATTAGATAGATATGATTTAAAGTTCTTTCCTTTTCTTCTTTTCTTAGTTATAACATATTCAGCTCCACTCTGGGATTCAGAGACAAGAGGTTAGAGAACAGAGGAAAAGAAAAGAACAGAGAGAAATGGAGATCACGGCGGCGTGGTGGGTGACATGGGTTTTAGGGTTCATCCCCTTGATGATTTTGATCTTACAGTGGTGGAATGAACTTCGGTATGTTTTACCGCTCAAACGCGTTTTAGCTTCTAAGAATCTGAAACTCCCTCCTGGTTCCATGGGGTTCCCTTTCATCGGCGAGTTGCTCACTTTCCTTTGGTACTTCAAAATTGTTCGTCGTCCTGATGATTTCATCAATTCGAAGCGAGCCAAGTAAATGCCCATTTCCCCATTTTCTTCATATTCTGTAATTACATTAAAACAACTTTTCGTTCATGCTTGTTTGGGATTGTAATGATTAATCATGTTGAGTATATTTGTTTGTCTGCAATTAATCAGATATGGTGATGGAGTTGGGATGTATAGAACATATCTTTTCGGCTCTCCATCCATCATTGCTTACTCCCCTGCTGTAACTCAGTTTGTGTTCCGATCAGATAATTTGTTTCCCTATAGATTTCCCACTAATGATCTTGTTGGAGCCAATTCAATGTTAGCAGCCACTGGGGAGCATCATGCTAGGGTGAAGAGCTATGTAATTGCTGCACTTGCTCATACTGATTCTCTCAAGAAAATTGTTCTTCATGTTCAACCTGGTATCAAGGCCTCTTTACATTCATGGGCTGAGAAGGGGATTGTCACAACATTTGGTGTGGTGAAGAAGGTCTGTTCTTCATATAAATTGGGTATTAATGTTTTCATTTCTAAATTAATAATGAAAAAATGTAATGCAGATTGTATAAATTTCAGTGTAGATTGATAACTATGAATCTCTTTAGTTATAGAGTTCGATGATTCAAGTTCGAATATTAATATTACATTTTTGAAAAAATCAAATGATGTAATAATATATAACTGGAAATTAATGTCTTTATGCCTGCAGATGGTGTTTGAAAATATTGCTCAAATTTTTGTTGGCATCGAACCTGGGCCCCTTTTGGATGATATCGGTCGATACTATGCTGGTTTGGTTAAAGGGTTTAGAGCACAACCATTCAACATTCCGGGTACTACTTATTATCATGCTATTCAGGTAATTCAATTCAATTAATATGTATATTATCACCACATGGAAAATGACTTATAATAATGCCAAAAACCATGACTATAGAATCTTTTTCCATTGATATAGCTCCTTACTCCCAAAGATACCATTATTTGTCTACTTTAGAAGGTTTACCAACAGATCAATTGTCGCAATAAGGGTCTCTAACAATAGTTTGTGTCGTTGGCAAAATTCTTTACCGACAAACTTTTGTCGAATTAATTGTAGTAATGTAATGAAGTAGCTGTTACTATATGCCAGTGTATTCATGTTAAAATATGTTCTTGTTAACTAGATGCATGGAAGTGGTACACTCATAGATAGTATATTGAGTTATAAATTCATATCAATTTTATGTATGACTTTTTTTCCGAGGACAAGATACTTCCAAACACACTAAATTACTTAAATTTTTACAGTGTCGAAAAAAGTTGATGAAAATATTTAAGTTGGAGTTGGAGAAGAGAAAAGAAAACAAAAAGTTGGATGGAGAAAATAAGGATTTGATGGATATGCTAAAGCAAATAAAGGATGAGGAAGGAAAGAAGCTAAGTGATGAAGAGGTGCTCGACAATATAGTATCACTTTTTCTTGGAGGTTTCGACAGTACTGCATCTGTATCGGCTTGGGCCATATATTACCTCGCCAAAAACCCAGATGTTCTGCAAATTCTTAGAGTAAGTACTGTTCAAACTTCATTTCGTATTCTCTAATTTAATTCAAAGAATATTCTCATGATGGATTAACTGCTTATACATTTTGTGGAGCAGAAATCAAGTTAGTTAATTGTTGTTTTGTTGTATCATGCAGCAAATGTTTATAATAATTCCATATGCTTTATCATTATGTAATGGATGTTTTCTGGTCTCAATTTCCAGGAAGAGAATATGCAATTGGGTGCAGTAGAGGGAGAACTTGTCACATTTGATCAAGTTTCACAAATGAAATATACTAAGAAGGTAGTGATGATATATGATATATGAAATATACTAAGAATATATGTGTATATATATATACATATACCTCAAAATTATGCTTGAACTAAGAAATCAAATGTTGAATATTGAATCTTGAAAGGTAAAGATCTGCACCATCCACATTATGTATTTTAACTTAACAATGACCATGTGAAATTCAGGTAGTGGAAGAAACAATAAGAATGTCGAATGTTTCACTAATTGCCTTCAGATCCGGTGATTACGATGTTGAATACGAAGGTCTTCGTTCTTTGATTTCAATACATATTTTATTTGGAAGTGAGAATGCTGTTTTGATTTCGAAACTTGATAGAAACACTCCATTATGTTGGTAACTTCTTTTATATATTCTAGGATACTTACTACCGAAAGGATGGAAGGTACTTCAATGGATTCGATATTCCCATACAAATTCAGAATACTTTGAAAATCCTTCGTACTTTAATCCAGATAGGTGGAATGTAAGTATGTTTTCTTTTCTTATTCACGTAACATTTATTAAAAACTTATAAATAGAACTCAGTTCTCAAGATTATTCACTCACTCAAACGTAAAAATTCTCGGAGATCATACTTATTATTGACGACCTCGAACATGTTTCCTGTTAGCAATCAACAAAACCAGAAGCATACCAAGCTTTTGGTGGGGGGTCCATGAAATGCGTTGGTACCGAGCTTGTTCATACACAACTAGCAGTCTTTCTTCACCATTTGGTTTTGGGATACAAGTAAGAATTATATTTTCTCTTATCACTTTTCTTTTTTATAAAATAAGTTCTTTGACTAATAATATATATATATATATATATATATACACACACATATATATGAAAATGTAGGTGGGAATTAATAAACCCAAATGCAAAAATCAACTACCTGCCTTATCCCAAGCCGGAAGATGGTGGAGAAATTGCAATTACTGCAATCTAATTGCAATTTATCAGTGATAGAATTGTATTCAATTGTGTGCAAATACATAAATAAAATTAATGCTTGGGGGAACCATTAGTTGCTTAAATTAACCATATGAAAATAATCATCATCATATATATATATATATATATATATATATATATATACATGTATTATAAAAACTAGTTCTCAATACATGCTGTGTGTGTATTTTTTTAATTTTTTAAAAATATATAATTAATTTAATTATACTAAATAATAATTATATTGTTTTTCAAATATGAATGATATAGGTTAATTGCATATATTTGTCTTGTTATCATTAATTTTTTAGTCGTTTATCCTATATAAAAAATAATATTAGTTTTAATATAAAATTATGGTATACAATATATATATATATATATTAATAATCATAAATTTGATTACATGTCTTCTAACTACAAAAATAAGAAAGATAATAACACTATATAAAAATAAAATGTTATTATACGATAATTCATTATTATAACTGTTAAACATTTTATAATTAAAAATGTAATACCATATATATATATATTAATGGTCAAAGATTAAAATACACATTTTCTTATATAATTAAATTTCATAATTTGTTCCAATTATTATTGAAAACTTTATGATTAAATAAATTAAAAAAAATGTAATTGTCGCAAAATGCTAACAGCATTCCACGTGGTTATTCAATGCCAAAACTTTATATGTACAATTATGATAATGTTTTAAAGTAATTTTGCAAATATTCACAGGAGAGAATATGAAATGAAGTCTTTTCCATAATATATATATTTGATCTAATTCTATACACCTACATGTGTGTATTAAATTATAATGAAAGTAATTAATTTACATGCATGTAGCAAATTAATTTTAAAGTAATTTAATTATATATGTATATATATATTTACATGTATTAAATTAATTTTAGCAATCATCTAATTGCCATCATAACTTGGTTTTGATAGATAATTAACATTTATTATATGATTTGATGTAGTTACCATAACCAAATTTTATATACTAATTTTAGAAATAATTCAATTTATTTAATATTTTTTAAAAAATTTTCTATCTATTAAAATGTCATAGATACATGTACCACTATAAAATTTAGTTATAAAATATGATATAGTAGAACTTTAAAAAATTCTAAAAAAAGTAATTAACTTATAATATTTTCATTAAGTTTAATTTATTACATCATTTATTTATTAAAATAAAAAATTATTACTAAATCTATTTTTTATTAATTAATATCATAATGTGTGCATAAGTATGATATCTTATGAAAAATTCTTGTTCACAAAAAAATTATTAAATCATGTAGAAATCAAATATAAGTCGAAAATTATTATTTAATTTAATAGTTGATACATTTTTTTTACTTTAGAAAGAATTACGGTTAAAAAATTTGAGAAATACGTGATCTTATTCTAATTTTTTTAAATTAAATATATTGTTTTTGACAAGAGATTGAATTTAATGCACCTAAACTAGAAAACTATACCAAATTTAATACATTTAAGGCTAATAAATAATGAATATGCTTATTTTTGGCGAAGCATTATAATTGATGGATAAACACTACATTTGCTGTTTTTAATAAAATATACCATGTTTAGTTATTATTTTAAAATTTTTTCATTAAAGTCTACCTACCCCTGAATGACTCAGATGGTACATGTATATATATATGTATATGGGGTGGTGAGTGAATGTGGCTAGAGATAGAGATATATATACATATATATATATATAGAGAGAGAGAGAGAGAGGGAGGGAGAGAGAGAGAGATGGAGATGACAATGGAGGGATATTGGTGGTGGGTGACATGGGCTATCGGTGGAGTGCCTTTGGCAATTTGGATTCTATGGTGGTGGAATGAGCTCCGATATGTATTACCTCTGAAACTTACAAACTCAGCTTTAAAGCATTCAAAACTTCCTCCTGGTCACATGGGTTTTCCTTTCATCGGAGAGATGCTCTCTTTCATCTGGTACTACAAGATTGTCAGTCGCCCAGATGATTTCATCGATGCTAAGCGAGCTAAGTAAATTCCCGTTTCCCCCATTTTCTTTTTTCTTTCGTTTTCTCGCATTTAGAACCCGATTTGGTCAGCTTTTGCCATTAGTTTTTGCCTTTCAAAAGCACTTTTTGAAGATGATTTCATCAGTACTAAGCGAGCCAAGTAAATACCCATTTCCCCATTTTCTTTTTCTTCCATTTTCTCGGGTTGAGAGCCCAATTGGGTCGGCTTTTATCTTTACTTTTTGCCTTTCAGAAGTACTTTTATTAGATGATTTCATCAATGCTAAGTGAGCCAAGTGAATTCTCATTTCCTCATTTTCTTTTTCTTTCATTTTCTCGAACTTAGGGCCCGACTGAGTCAGCTTTCATCTTTAGTTTTTCCGTTTCGAAAGCACTTTTACACTCATTGATGGTTGATTGTTTGTGATGATATGATCGGTCAGGTATGGTGATGGAGCAGGGTTATATAGAACATATCTCTTCGGCTTTCCATCTATCCTTGCTTGCACTCCGGCTGCAACCAAGTTTGTGTTCCACTCACATCTTCTGTTTCCCCATAGATTCTCAACAAAGGAACTGGTTGGCCCTAATTCTATGTTGGCAGCTACTGGGGATTACCATGCCAGGATCAAATCCCATGTCACTGCTGGACTCGTTCATACTAATTCTCTCAAGAAATTCCTTCTCGTCGCTCAACCAGGCATGAAGGCCTCTCTTGAATCATGGGCTCAAATGGGTACCATCAGATCATTTGATGTTGTCAAAAAGGTACGGACTTGAACTTATTATTTATATTTTCATTCGTTTTTAATCATTAATATTAATGTAATATAATCTAATATGCAGATGGTATTTGAGAACATTGCTGAATTTTTTGTTAGCATCAAACCAGGACCTCTTTTGGATGAGCTTCTTGGTTATTATATTGATATGTTTAAAGGGTTTAAAGCACGCCCGCTTAAGATCCCAGGAACTACATATTACCATGCTCTTCAGGTAATTCAATTCTGGTTAATTTATCACCAATGCACATTTGCTTAATTTATTGATCATAGTTTATTGATCGTTTGCTATTACATACAGTGTCGGAAAAAGGTGCGTGAAATCTTTAAGATAGAGTTGGAGAAGAGAAAACGAGATAGAAAAGATGGTGAATACAAGGATTTGATAGATGCTTTATGGCAAATAAAAGATGGGGAGGGAAATGTGCTAAGCGATGAAGAGGTTCTCGATAACATATCGTCACTTATTCTTGGAGGTTATGAAAGTTCTTCTGGTGTTGCCGCTTGGGCTATGATTTATCTTGCTAACAATCCAGATGTTCTCCAGAAACTTAGAGTAAGAATTAACTACTACTTTTATATCTTAATTTTCTCATGCTAGAAGTAGATAACTCATTTGCCAGTATAATTGAAGAGTGTTGTTATATGTTTATTGAAGTTTCTTAATAACCATACTTTCGTACAGCACTGAATGTGTTAATTCAAACTTTCAAATTGATTTTTCAGGAGGAGAACATGGAAATAAGCAAAACATTAAGTGAGGGAGAACTGCTTACTCTAGACCATGTTTCAAAAATGGTGTATACGAAGAAGGTATTTAATGATTTCTTACATGCTTCTTGCAAGAGTATCTATATAGGCAATATTTCCAGTTATATATATATATATATATATATAGGCAACCAAAACAATTATGTTTTCATCATTGTGTGTATACAAATATATATATATATGTGTGTGTGTGTATATGTGTATGTATAAGTTGAAGAATTTTAAGAGATAGTTTAACTCTAACTACTATTTGGTTGGGAAATTGAAGGAAAAAGAGACCAAGAGAAAAAATTCAATTTTTTATTTATAATTGTTGCAAAAAAATCTTCTATGTACGTGTCATATATATAGAGGTACTTACACTACTCTTAAACTTTCATATATATATATATATATATACCATAATTAAGTGTAATTTATAATCATAATTAGGTATAAAATATGAACCACTTAGAAAAACATAAAAAACACATTTAAACATAATACATTAACTATTTAAAAAATTCAAAAACACATATTTAAGTTTAATACATGAATCTAATATAACTCAAAAGATATATATTTAACCTTAATACATGAACCACCTAATAAAATTTAAAATATACGTGTCCATAGATAAATAATCTTCTTAATTCGTAAATTATTATTTTTAACAGTATTTATCTACGTATCTTAATTTTGTTATTCTTTAGTATATATAATATACTTGTAAATAACATACTTGGAAGTAGGTGTTTGAAGAATCAGCAAGATTGGCAAACACAACTGGCTTCCTTTTCAGAGCTGGTGATCAAGACGTTGAATACAAAGGTGTTTATCCTTTAGTTTTTTTATACTTTATCTATTAATTTTAGTGTGTTATTACACTTACGAATTCAAATTCGGGTATGATTGGTTCTTAAGTTTTATCGCAAATGATTGCTAAATTACAGGTTATTTAATACCAAAGGGTTGGAAGGTAATTCAATGGATTCGATATGCTCATGAGAGCTCGGAATACTTTGAAGACGCAATGACTTTTAATCCGGATAGATGGGACGTAAGAAATATTCTTTCTGTGATCTTCTTAATTGATCGTAAGTTAACTAAATTA